ATCAAAAGGGTGGTGATTTTGATATGTACTTACCATCTTCTAAAACAGTGGTTCTCAATCTTCCTAGTACCGTGACCCTTTAAAGCAGTTCCTCATGTTGTGGTGACTCCTCCCCCCCAACCATAAAATTATTTTTGTTGCTATTTCATAACTGTAATTTTGCTATTGTTATGAACAGGTGACTCCTGTGAAAGGGTCGTTCGACCCCCAAAGGGGTTGCGACCCACAGGTTGAGAACCACTGTCCTAAATGTGCATGTGGTGCACACTCGTATATGTCCTGATGTTTCAAAGCTTTGTCAAAGATAAGGTTGGAAACACTAGTAGCATTATAGCCAACAAAAATCTCACTACGTTTTCTGTCACAGGTCTCAATAGTTGTTTGGCTGAGGTCTGATAACTTCCACATTTTCTAAATTCCTCATTGCCCTTCACCGAAGAAGAAAACAGTGTGTTAAAACAAATAAGCATTCAACGTGAAGATGGAGAAAACAAGCTTTATTATAATGATTTGAGATTCTGTGCATGGTAAAGATGTTGTATGACTCTTGTTTCTCCTATGCTTCGAGACAGAATTAAAGTTTCATTGTAGACTAACGCATCCAAAATACTGTGGTACATAGGCAGCTACGAATGTACAAACACTTGGATGTACAGGGTTCATTCTTTAAATAGGCATTCAACGTTTTGAAAACGAAAAGGATAGATCAGTACCAATGATGGAGCGCGCCAGATTTAGTGTTCTATACACAGACGTATGAAATTGACTTAGAAAGATGGAATGTACAACATTTAAAAAGAAAAAAAGGGGAGGGGGCAAGAAGCCTTTGCGCTCACAGGCGGGTGTGAACGGCTTTGGCTTGGGAACGGTGTGAAGAATTCTATTACAAGAATACACTCCGTTGTGACAGAACATTCCCATGTCATAAAGCAAAAACAGTGGGATTAAGGCCGAGTCGCTTTCAGAAGTTTAATGGAAGTGCTGTACATTCATTGGAACAACAGAGCCAATTTATAATCTACACTACAATATTAATAACCTTCATACATTCTCAACAAACAGACCCCACAGTCACTGCCACACAACTCATCTTTAGAAAGGTTTTACGATCAACGTCATGATTTGTAGCTTACTGTCATTTCAAAGGAAGAAAAAAAAAAAGGTTATTTCTAACAAACAGATTTTTAATGGGCACTTAGTTTCCTTTATGGCAATACTAGATTCTTATTTATCAAAAATATTAAAATAATTGTAAAATTAAAACCCCTGCAACATTTACAGAATGCAACAGTTTGAACGATTTTCATCTTCCAAAATTAGATCATGTTTGCATCAAATAGCTGCAATTTTACCCGACATGGAAGTGTCGTGTTTTAAAATGATTAAACTAAAGACACCCTGTCCTTTTCAGAATCTGGCAAACCGAGAGGATACTGAGAGTCCAAATGTACAAAATGATGTGTCCCAGTTGACGTTATCTGCAGGTGACCTGATGTTTATTTGGCCCCTCTTCCAATCAGCTCAGCAGGTAGGACCAGAAGAATTTTTGTAATCCTCTAGTGGTCAGGATGCACAGACACTTGCTCATGCACTGCTAGTCCAGTGCTAAGACATACCCTGTACACTGTGGAGAAGAAGCAAGCGCATTCTAGTCGCACGGACCTGGAGTATTGTCTGCCTCGAATCCAGTGGCTAATCGAAGAGCAAATTAAAATAAGGAAACTTTAGGACTACTGGAGACGAATGCTTGATCAACTACTTAAAAAATAAAAAGCACACATCACATAAAGGATTTTGATTCTTGTTTTCAGATGGTCAGCTAAGTGAGTCCCTGTGGCCCCATGTCCCCATGTCCAGCAGGGGAGCTCTCTATTGGGAGGGAATTAACTGTAACTGACCTTTAAATTCTAAATGGCAATATTTTGCCATAAGTGCCCGGGGGTGGGGGTGGGGAATGAGTAATTATTCAGTGCTACTTATCATGAATGTATAACAGGTTCTGTACATTTGACAAAGAGGAATCCAAGAATAATGGTAGCAAAAAAAAAAAGCCACTTCTTTTAATATCCTTCTCAGTTTACCAGAAACCATTTTCAATAGGATGTGACAAGATTTCATTAAAATCTTGTCTCTATCTTATCAGCAGCATGGTTTTCCCCAAAATATGCTTACGAAGAAATACAAGTACAGTAAATTCACATAATATCCAAGTATGGAATGCTATCTATATGTCAACATACACGATTACATTTTTTATGGTCTTATTGTTGTTGAGAAAAACGTTGTGTTTCCTAGAATGTCCACAGGCAAGTGTTTTATGAACAGATGGCGGAACAAGGTCTGAACCAAGGTCTCCACTCTCTCATTCCAGTTTGTGCCAATATTGACAAGGAAACATTGATTTTTGCACCTAATCCAACCAATATCCGGCCTGGTAGATGATGGCTGGTTAGTTTATAAGTTTAATTCTAAGTTCACAAATCTAATTTAATGTTGTGCATAAAATCTCTTTAAATCAGCAGCCTGCAGCAGAATCTATATTCCAGACCCATTGCCATGAAGGCCATTCCTACTCAGCACACCCGTCTATCGGACTGAACAGGGTGGTTCCAGAGGGTTTCCAAGGTTGTAGATGAAGCCCTGGTGGCATAGTGGTTACACATTGAACTGCTAATTGCAAGGTCAGCGGTTCAAAACCACCAACTGCTCCTGGGAGAAAGTTGGAGCTTTCTACTCCTGTAAAGTGTTACAGTCTCGGAAATCCACAGGGGTAGTGCTACTCTTTCCTGTAGGGTGGCTGTAAGTTGGAATTCACCCGAGGACATTGAATTTTGATTAATCTTTATGGTAGGAGACTGCCACCTCTTTCTCCTGCCGAGTGGCTGGTGGGTTTGAACTTCTGACCTTTAGGTTAGTGGCTGAGTGCTTAACCGATACATCACCAGGACTCCTTAGAATCTAAAGAGGAAGTCATTTTTACTTGTAAAAGTAAACGAAAATGAATCCAACCCATTTCCAAGTTTTCTTTTAAATAGTATAAGAATGATCAAGAATCTAACTTATCCTTTATGTACCATGTTAGGATAGGGCAGAATGAAATGCCCACTCCCCCAAAGGTAAGCTACAAGAGGGCTGGGATTTCTGACTGTTTTATCCATCACTGTGTCCCCAGATACGCCTGGGACATTCACAGACTCATTTCACTGATGCTAGGAAATAAGATCTTAGCTTAACATTCTAATCATGTTATTAACTTTTATAACTCTACCATGGACAAGCTCCAATGTTTTTTATACACTACCTAACTGAAAAAATACAAAACCTAAGTCTTCCTGAAAAATTTGTTGTTGCTGTTGTTTTTTTCAGATGTTGATTTGGGCATAATAAACAATTGCAAGTAGCTAGATTATCCTTTAAAAAATTTAAATCCTATGTACGAGAATGACTGCATTATAAATTAATAAGCAATGGCATCACATTCATATACTTATATGTATGGGAACTTTTTCTGAGATGACAATTCTAAGGTGCTTTCAGTGAAGAAGACCCCAAAGGCGTTCTCAAAAATGCCAAATATGACATCCTATTTGGTAGAACTGAGTAGAAAATTAAACAGTGGAAAGAGACGGCATAATAATTTACAGTACCACCGACAGGCTAAGTGTTGACTATATTATGCTGAATATTTCTCAAAATGAACTTACATTTACTTTAATTTTAAACATAACTTGAGTAGAACTTTTCTTCTGACATCTAATTTGGTTTGTTTTGTTTAGCTTTTTTCTTAAAGCACAGGTGGCATTTTCTGCCTGTAAGTCAACCACAAGCCCCAGGCCTGGAAAATAGCAAAGAAGAATGTACCTCGGGGCTGGCTCCCAGAGGACGGCTGACAAGTGCCCAGTACAGGGTGTGCTGAGAAATGGCCAGTCGATGCCCGTCTGTCTTTCAGAGTGCTGCCTATTGCAATACACCAAAGATTCAGCTATATATTTATATAGATATATATTACACATTCTACCTTACCCTAATCATGGATACATAGTCCCATAACACCTCTACTATTCATTAGACAATGATAAAGAACCATAACATGCCCTTACCTGTAATGCTTTTTGAGAAAACACAACTTTGGTAACACTTGCTTTCTAAGGGGAAACCATTAATCCATCACATGCCTTTGGTTGACACCATCTGTCCTCAAAGGGCTACTTATGGCTCTCTGTCCCAGGACACCGGTGTCCTACTACAGGTGCTGACGGTTTGCAGGAGGTAAAGCTTCCGCTTTCACAAAGTGAGAGAGGAGAGATGCAGGTGAGGCCATGGCACAGACGACCTGACTACCCTTTGCTTGATTACGTCCAGTGCGTCCATCTGGAGTCCACGGGGCTCTCGGGCCTGACTCCTGTCATCTGCTTTTCCCACCCAGCAGGGATTGCAGGGCTCCCTAAAAATGTACTTTGCTTGCCCTTGCAAGGTGAGCACAAGACAAGGGGGAAAGAATGCATAAAAAGCATCTTGGATCTAACCGAGAAAAGTTGGGAAATTTGCATTGCTTCTTAGGTGCAAAACTCAAGGCCTGCTGATCAGAGCTGGGAGGATTTTGCAAGACAGCCTTATTTTTTTTCCCCTAAAGTAAGTCATATGTAGTTATTGATGGCCACCCCCCCCAAACAAAACAAAACAAAAAAACACCCCACAGTCACAAGAGTTAATAGCTACAGTGAAAGTGAGGTTAGAAGATTCCCCGGGTCCAGGTCTTGGGACCTTGGCTAGAGAAAATAGACAACTACAATAGAGTTTGTTTTTGTGTTGTGTTTCCTTTTGAGGAGCTCTGAGCAAAAGCTACCATTCACAGGATTAACAAATACCTTTAAAGATCCTACGTTTTGAAAATGTTTGTTTGATTTGCTAAATTACTTTAGTTACACAAACCCCTGTTCTATAAGCCATAGTTCACAGGTGTAAAACGGTGCTGTTGTTACAGATTCAGTAGAAGAGTCTTTCTTGTTTTTGCTTGTTACCCTTAATTTGAATTAGAGAAATCAGGTATGCAGTCTTAGGGGAATTGTTACATTCAGAAGGAACCTTAGAAAGCTCACCAATGATTCCTTCTAGCTGCCCCCACCCCCCAAAATCCAGTTATACTCTGGTCCCACGTTGAGAAATCCATTCCAGTTTACAGTGTAAGACCTTTGGGCGCGGTTGCTCAGCTACTCGCCGTTACTGTAGATATCGATAGACCTTGAAACAATGATTTCCAGAGTCTGCAACCACAACGTGGCCGTCTGACGTGAGGGCCAGGCCCTGGGGGCCATAGAGTGGGTCAGCAGATGTGTTAATGTACGACAAAAATGATCCGCTCCCATCGAAAACCTGCCAAGCAGAAAAGGGTGGAGGGTTATCATGGGCAGTTACAGCAACATACCAAAACATAAGCGAGAGAAGCTAACGGTGTGTCTGAAACGGATTTTGTGACTTCGGAGAGGCGCCAGGCATCGCAGGTAACAGTGCTCCATCGAGTGTGCGAAGCCATGATTGTTCCGGCAGACCGCCAGGCCCGTTTCTTCCTTGGCGACGTGCGTGGGTTCTAACCAGCAACCTCAGGCTATTGGACAAGTGCACCAAAGCTGATGGTTTTCACAGTAGAGTGTGTATACGCCTCTCAAGGGAGAAAGACGGAGCTTCCTACTCTT